TTAAATCGTGCTTGGACAATCAAAGTATGAGGGATTTCATGTTACTGATGAGAAACATCCAAAGTTCACTGGCGATCAAAACAGTGAAATCGTAAAAGTGGTCTGCGAAAACGGCTTATATACACAAGATTTCTGGAAATGAACAACGATATCCATTTGCTAAAATGTTAGTGAAATTTCACTTTTTATCAGATCCAGTAATTCTGAACAGTCTTTTGTGTTTTTTCGTGCTTTTCGCGGCTTTTTAGCCAAGTTTTACCATCGTCTACCATGAATAAATACTTTTTCTCGGTGTGCAGCTTCAGCCGATGACACTTTTGTCTCTCTGGCATTCACCAGTACCAATTTAATATGGAAACCCGGATGAACGAATTGTAGAAAGGTTGGTAAAGGAATCGGACTCCTGATCTTCGACACAACAGCAGTGCCATTTGCCAGTTTACCAGAGTTACGAGAGCATTAAAACGCACACTGTATTTTCAGGAGTAGCCTCATCTTGCACAACTGTTCTCCTTCTTAGCACCTTGTTTTGAGGGCCACTTGAAAAGCAAGTTAAAGTTACTCATTTGCAGTATACGGTGTGGTTCCTTAGCCGTACAGCTAACTTCTTTTGATGGTCATCTGGCAAAACCTAAATCTCGTTTCAGAAGACTTCAAGAGACTAGTAGCTGGACGATTCTTCCGTCAGAAGCACGTAGTACAGTGTCTTAGCCGTTTCGAGATATCACTGGTGTGTGTTTGTACATTGAATATCACTGTTGCAGAAGTATCGCGAAAAGCCGGCAAAAAAGTATGTGTATGCAAATGGCATATGCTTATACATTTATATATATAGGCTCCGAATCATATAGAGAAGAGTGGTTCGACTAACTTTTCGAGAAAAAGCTCCGCTTGCGACAATCACTATCTTGTTTCAATCGCTATCAGTCTTAATGGACCGAAACGTCTTAACTTTCTCGTACCTACTTTTCTCCCACCAGCAGTATTTCTATATCCTTCATTACATCGTTCTATTCTTGCCCTTTTTAAGTTCATATTACTTTTATGCTACAACCATGCTATAATCAGCTTAGACCAAATGACACCTATTGGCTATTAGAATGTGGTAATAGTATTAGTAATGATGCAACAGTTGTTCTAGAAGCCCAGCTGATGATGATGAGCATTAAGCTGTTATCTCTTCAACCTCTGTCACTTCCCCATTAGCCTGAGGCAGTAGCAGAGGCAAAATTGGTAGCTTTGTGACTCACTGCAAGTTTCCAATAAACAAGTACTACTAGCAGAAGCAGTACTAGTAGTAGTAGAGCATTAGCAGTCATAGCAGTTAGCATGCTGGCGCATGGATACAGGACAGGGGAGAAGTAGCAACGAGGAAGGAAGCATGGATGGAGATGGGCTAAGGGGACCACGAGATCGATGTGTCGTCTTTCTATGCGTGTATGTGCGCCGCCAATAGGCCTGGTGGTGCTGCTTCTTCTTCCTCGAAATCTACCTACATTTCCCGCACTACATCCATCTCCATAAACAGCAACAAGGCGAGGGCTGCT